AACGTAAGAGCTGGGGTCAATGATCACAACTACACAACTTGGCCGAAGCAACTTTCAAATTCGCAATGATCGTGAACGACAACACCACATATAAATTTTAATTGATATACCAACCCAAAGACATCCTCATACTCATAAGAGACTTAGTACAATCTTGGGACGCCACGATGTGGATGCAATAAATGGCGAATCGAATGTATGAAAAAGGAGGAGTTGAATAAACACGAGAAGAATCGTCTATCGCTTCCTTCAAGTAGTAGTAGTAAACACGTCATCAGCATCTACTGTTTCTTAAGCCTGAAGCTCATCCTTGATAATGTCGAAGTGGCAGAACGGCACGAAGGAGTATCCATCACCCATGTAGAACTTGGATTGGAACTCCACCCAATGCAGACGCAAGGTATGGAGGAAACACTCCAAGACATCCATGAACATAAGGACACCCAAGGTGATACCAAAGAGGACGGCGAAAGCGCAGTAGATGAAGATAGGGCTGGCCCAGCTAGTGGACTGGAGAGCGCCCTGCATAATCATCTGGAAGAACACCACAGAAAGCTGCTGATGCGCCAAGGACAAAGCCCAAAGACGCAAATATGACGCAGTATGGGATACGCAACCAAGCACGTATTCGATGGTCTCGATCATCTGGTAGATCCAGACCTCATCCATACCCTCTTCCTCAAGCTCCTCGTCAGTCTCACTCTCCTTCGTGATGAGGGCTTGCGCTTCTACATCGTCATTGGCAACAGCGTTACGGTTGTTCTTCTTATTTCTGATAGACCTCTGGATTTGAATAATAATCGGCTTAGGTAAGAGCATAACAGGGACCGATATCACCACAGCAAGCATGAGCCACTTTTGAACGGCAGGCTGGGCGAGGAACAGAGGTTGCTTATCAGCTTGGCCGAGACCGAACGAGATCAAGGTGTTAATCAGGGAGGGGGCACCGTTAAGGGTAGGGTCCTGAGTAACAGGAGTAACCCACTTATACATGATCATCCAGTCCATGTAACCAAAGAAGCCCAACAGGAAGACCATCTGGGGAATGGCAACGAAGATGAAGTCAATCCACTCCCTCATGTAAGCATCGTTACCGAACTTGATGCAAACACCAAATATCATCTGGAAGACAC